TAAAAACAGCTGTCTTTTCTTATGACTTATTAATTTGAAAAACAAGTCATTTTTACCTCACCAGAAGTAGGTATACGTCAATCGCTAGTAATTCTAGTATTAATACGCTTAAGAATTAAAAGAAAAGAACGACTGTTTTTACATGTGCCGGCCTCATATTTATGTATACCGTTTATTGCTATTTTTATTAGACGCGCGCTTAAAAACTTTTTTGCCAGGGGGTAAAATCGGACGCCGTTTAGTGGAATTGATCTAACTTTATAAGATCTGATGTGAGTACGGTATAACAGCAAGCATGATTTCTTGTAGACTAATTACATTTTTCTATACTAAATCTTCCTGAGATCGAGAGACTTTCGAATTTTTTCCAGTCGATTAGCAAATGATTCAGTGGGAAATGAGCTTGGACAGGAAAGGGAAACGTTCGAACGGTAATTACCTTGGCGTGGAAGACGATTCCACGGTGGAACGCCTCCTCGCTGTGCAACGGTATCCTCGTGTCGTACTCGTCATTATGCACGAGATTGTATTGCTTCTTAGAGGGCATGCTTGGCCCAGCTTCATCCGATTATGCTCGTCCAGTCTCGCTGAAACAAGACCATTCAACATTATCGTTACTGTTTCGCCGCTCGTAAAACTGTCAGAGAAAATAAACCTGCCACGATCCCATCCTCATTCATTTCATTTTCCTCTGTTTAACAGATAAAATTAAGATAGTCAAGAATTGTTGCCGAACTCGCTCCCCCGCGTCGTTTTATGTTCTAACTACTGCCGGAGGGATTGTAAAAAAAATATATACCGTTTAACAAATTAAACAAACATCCGGCTAACGATTAATTTTGTCATGGAGAACGAAAACAGACGAGAACCCGACTCGAATACCGGTCGGTCGAGTTAGCACGTAATTTCGTTGTTTCTTTTATCTCGATGAAATTGCACAGCGATTTATCGCCGAGGCTCGCGGATCTCCAAAGGAAGCCGCAGCTGTTTCATCGTGATCTACCGAGGCAGAAGGGAAGGAACGCGTTTCCAGTCACCGTGTCGCACAGATCTCTACCCCGAGACCCCGCGTCAAGGTAGACGCAATCGCCGCGTCGTCATCCGACGGAAAATCGATAAGAGAGAGAGAGATACCTCCGTGTGTCGGCTCATCGCTGTAATCTCGGAGACGTTCGATTAGACCAAACGAAATTGTCGGATGAACCAGTCAAAAAGTGACCCAGTAAACATATGGGTCGCTCTCGTTTCCTTTGTACCGACAAATTGAATTTAAAGGACGCGTTCAATTTTACGGTCGGCTCGGCGTGAATTTATCTCGTGGCAACGTCTTCTTTATCGTGAGAAACGTTGAATAGGTTCGTTTTGGACGAAAAGGGGGAGCAGGTGGGTGGTCCCATTTGTACAAAAGCCATGCAGCCGCGGTCGAACCACTCGCCTATTCCTTCTTCCAACTCGTCGAGCCACTAGCTTCTCTTTCTCTCTCTGAAAATAGGTACGGGTCCCTATTTAAGGCCTGGTAAGTTCAAGAGAGAGGCGGTACAAGAGGAGAGCGGGTACCCACGTGCTGCAACCGGTACCGCGTTCAAGGTCAACCGTGAACCACGGCTCTGACGCACGCCAGGGGCTGGCGACGTTTCCCGATCTGCACCGGCCGAACAAAAAGGCCCCCCGTCCGAGATAGCATCGAGGCCGAGAATAAGCGCCGATTTCCTGTGCGACGCGTTCGATCCTCCCTTCGTCTCGGATCGGCCGACTCATTCATGGCGACGATTGCCAGCTGGCTGCTTCTTTATCAAACTCCCACGCAAAAGTTGAACGCGTTCGCTGTTATAATTTTCCTTTCTTAAAGGCCTGAAACGTCTCGCCGCTCGTGAGCGACACGACTCGGCATACAATGTAGAACACGAATTAAATCATGATCGAACGCCCCTAACTCATATGTACGTTTAATCCGGACGTGAATGAGAAATTAAATAACATCCCGTTCAACGTTTAACAATAGGCTGATTCTACGTCAGAAAATGCACGTGATTAATCTTTGGTATCCTGGCCTTTTGAAAAAGAAAAATTACGGGGTCTTAAGGACACGAGGAGATGTTCTTTTGTCAGAGTCGTTCAGTTGCCCGGGCCGGAACCTAGCCGGAACATCTGCCGCAACCATTTTTTGCCGCTACAATCTTGATTAAGGTCTGCTTTTATTCCACCGCTACAAAAACGCGAGAATCAATCTCGAAGCAACATGGGAAACGCACGCCTCGGGGCGTCCTTTAATATAATGAATAATAAACCAAAGAATAACAATTATGCAATAGAGTAATCTATGAAAAGTATATGTATGGATCTTTTATATACTTTGAAGCAAGAAACAAATATAAATATAATATTAACTTAAATTTTCCATCAGATTTTAAAATTATTTTCCGTATTATTGCTATATTAATTATTTATAACTTTATTATTTTTCTATTGTGTTCCTTTAGAAAGTAATAAATTTATGTAAAAATTCTTCTACTAATATTATTTTTATTTGAACTGATATTTAAATATGCAGTTGTTTATTAAAATTTAAACATCTGGATGAACATATGCTTAAACAAATAAAAATATCAATAGTGAAATATAAAAAATTATAACGCCTTTATTACTGCCTAATTTAAATGTGGCCTCTAGTGGTAGAAAGATTTTCCACTGCTGCAGAAAAGGGAAACTAACAGAAGCGAGAGCTGGCTCAGTTTCATTGTTACTAGCTGTATATTATCATAATTATTATTGTTGACTGCTGTTCTTTGCCAAATTCTAAATATTCAACGCAATAAAACTAGTACCGTCAAAATGACTTATTTAAGTTTAGTGCGATTAAAAAAAACACTTGAGAACCTACTATTTAAAATTAGTTACATTACAACAGATTGTTTGAATTACTTTTGAATGACAGTGTACCTTCCGTCCATTTCACTGAAATTACGCCGTATCCGTCAAGACAAAAAGAATAGAATATAAACTTATGGAAATTGCAGTCGCGGGGTTGCGAGTAGAAACCGTACGATCCTATTGCGTGAGACTCGAGACATGAAACGTCGAGGGGAGAAACGAGTCTGCAGGGTGAAACAAAAAGAGAGCAGCAGCAGCAGCAGCAGCAGCAGCAGCGTCAGTCGGCTCGCGATGATTTTATCACGGCAGTAATTCCATTAAGCATTAGCCTCTGTCTACTCGAAAACGGAATTACACTCGATTCCATTCCCTTCAGGCCAATTACGTTTCGCCGGGGCACGTGCAACGCCCGTTAGCGTTCGAATTGAAGCCAGGTGAAACAGAACGAAGGTACGATAATGGAAAAATGTACTTACACCGTACACACCGAGTACAATAACTGCATTGATCTGTTGGCGACAATCTAACGTTAATCACGTACTATAAAGAGAATATAGCATTGGTCGTATTGATTAAGTTTCGTGATTCACGTATGGAATGATTCATTTTACGTAGAGAGTAAATGGACACTTCTGGTGATGGATTGGTAGATACTGAGTGGAGACTAAAAATGTTAAACTGGTTCGTTGAATAATCAAAGAGATAGAAGAGAATTGATATTAAAATATCTTGTACTTTCTAAATAATGTATGTAATACCTGCTCTAGATTCTGGTATTCCATGAAAGGTATTAAAGATTTTGTCGTTCGGTTTAAGCTATAAAAGAATGCCGCCAAAATAGGAAACAGTTTTATTACGTCCGTTTTTAACGGGTCGCAGGATATTACGAGGCGAGGAGAACCGTAACAATTCTCGACGCTATCTTCGAATAGAAAGTCATATTTCTTAGAAAATTAAGTGACTAACTTCGTTTCCCATGGGAAACCGAACAAACTTCGACGCGTAGATAATCTCGGAGTTTAGAGTTCAAATAAAAACTTCACCGTTCCTAATAAAAAAGTTTCCAGGTCCAGGAAACAAAAGAAAATGCGATTTACATTCAATGCCTATTATACCGCTACTTCGACAATTAATGTGTTCGTAAATAATTTGTGAAAGAAACTTCGTACAATTTATTTGAAGCAAAATATTTTACGAACATGTATAACTTCTTTATTTATACAATCGTCAGTTTAGATCTGCGCGCAGGCACAATTTTACTTCCAGATAGGATATTTTATACGCGCGACTGTTTATTTCTCTTGCCAGTATATCAATTTTGCAAGAAGAGGATAAGTTGGATAGGAGTTAAAAATCGTGAAAGAGTCGATTATTTAAAGGGACAGGCGTCCGCTGCGGAGTTCAAGTACCGCCGGAGGATGCGTCTTTTGTGCGCACCTGAATCAAGGTGGCGTTCACACGTGCGTGACCGAACAAAGAGGGACCTCTTCTTGTAACAGCTACCACCGTCCACCTATGGCGGCAATTGTATGGAACGGTAAAACGCACGTAGCATACTCATTTCGCGATCCGACCCTCTGATCTGTTTGTAATGCGACGTCCACCGTGAATAGAATTAAGGAAAGGCGGTTTAACGCGATCTTCCCGTATACGTAATCCGTCGCTCTGTTCACCAACGCACGAACGGCGTTTCAGAGCGTTCGTACGAGAGGTCATGTGAAACGATAGACGTTTTCTATGCTAAATTTTATTAGCTAATTAAATCGTATAAATAGCGAAGAATAAACGTCGATGTTTAATTATATAATGTAGGGCAGCGAATGAATTATTCACAAAATTAACAAATACAGAATTATAAATATATATATAGTTGAATCGGTGAATGTTCGCTGTTTATAAATAATGTTGAACTTAAAAGAGGCTGTGGGGAATCGGAGTCAGAGTGAAGGACCTCGTTTAGCCACCCCACGTGCTAGCATCGAACGCGTTTTACGGCCTGTGAGCATTTATCCCGCTACTTTAGCACGAGTCGTTAATTTCGATGCGAAAAACCGTGATTTACAACGTAGCACCTTGATAATGCACTTTTTATCTACCGAGAGGAAAATGTAAACTAAAAACGCTGGCTTAGAACACACACACACGTATGTATTTCAAAGATAAAACGAAATTAAAGGCGCCAGGCATCGTTTAAAGAAGCTGTGCAGATGGATAATCGCTAAAAGTATTGAGAATTATTCCTGGTAAAAATAATAATTCCTAATCGAATCTGAAATTAAATGAAAATATCGGATCGTGGCAGTTTACATGGAAATCGTACGAAAAGTGGTACCAATTTAATCGGATGTAAGCAGAGAACGAATGAAGACTTGGAAATGTTTAAAATACTTTTATCGAAACGGTTTTTGGTTGTCTTACCTGTTAGCCGATTGGACGATCGGGGTCGGGAAGTCCTCATTAACCGGTTCGATTCGCGATCACGGCAAGAACGACCGGGAGAGGTTCCTTGCCCGAAAATCGGCTCCGTTTGTGAATGCAGCTTAACGGCGGAAGGCAGGCCAGTCAGCCAGGAGAAATATGCACACATTCAGGTCCCGTCGTTCGTGAAGGACCAACACCGACACCCCATGGCGCGCGCGAGATCGTACAAAACGCACTACCACACGGAGACGGATCGACGACCTCTCTCTCTCTCCTTTTAGTAACAGATGACGGAATACTGACTTGGTCAATGTAACCCACGAGACGTCCCACGGGAACACCTTTACGCGAGATCTCACTCGATGCAACGCGACCACCACTTGATCACGATGCGTATATACGTGCCACCGGCTCCATTGGCCTCTCCTCTTTTCTTCTTCTTCTTCTTCTTCTTATTCTTGGCTCGTTTTCGTTTTTCTTTCCCTTCGCCTCGGCTCGTTCTTTTCACGGCGAGCGCCGAGAGAGTCTCTTTGGTACGCGAACCGAGGTGACCGCGTGCTAACTCTAACTATTCGGAGAAAGGGAACGACAAAGCAGAATTACACACGCTCTCGCGACGCGAAAATGCGAACACGCGCGAGATGCCGAAGTAGGGATGCGGACACGATCATTCGAATCGCATCCCACTGTGCCCTCGTATTTCGCTAACGTCGAATTACACGCGATACACGACACTCGAGTACGTACCTATTACTTCACACGAATTCCACGATCCTCGACGGTTTTCGCGCGACGTCTCACATTCCTCCTTCTGACCGTTCCGTTGTTCTCGCGTTTCGAACAAGCACCATGCACGCCGTGCACAATCGCGGTACGTACAGCCCTCCGGGGACCGTGCAAATCACCCCCACCGTTGACGCAACCGGCGTCGCACTGAAAACCGGCTGGCTCGAATGTTGCTCCCAAGCACGAAGCGGGAATGCGACTCGACTTCATCATCATCTGTAGGAAAAACGGTGAACCACCTCACCAGGGACGTCGATACGAGTGGAGTAACAATGATCGATAGAAATTTAAAAATAAAATTAATATTGACAGAAATATAGTGAAACAATGGAAATAGTAGGATGCATATAGAATCGAAGAATGTATGATAATTCAATTTTTAATCGAAATTACGCGGAATTGATTTAATCGTACGAACGGCAATCTATGTTAGAGGTAGTCCCAGTTTTCTTGATATAAATGCCGTGTACTGGACGAAAGCGCGTTATTCGACGGCTAGTAGTCGAAGAGACGGTGAACGCAGCGTTGGTGAAAATGAGTACCGTTACATGCGTCGCACCCATCAATATTGCCGTTATAAAATATTGTACGTATTATTATATCATTAGTATTAATTATAACAAAAAGAACGTAATTATTACAATGATTAATTACAAATGCAATCACGGAATCAGTTCTGTTCATTCACTCTTATCAATACGTCAAGAGATTAAATAAATTATAAATTAAATCTGTAATCTATTTATGTATGCATGTCCGATTCTTTTTAATTATTGATCTTTCAATATAATATTTCCAGCGCTAGAAATGCATTATAATAAATTCTATTTCCTTTCAAAAACCTTGTCTCTATTTCTGTACAAACTACTTTGCATTGAAAACAAAATAATTTAAAAGTATAACGCGTGACCTCTTTCCAGAAATTTGAATTTAAATAGTTTTATTTAAATGCTGCTATTTCTTTTTTCACAGGGGGTAAACGAGATGAGACTTTAATCTTGCCTGTGAACGATTCTATTAGTATTACTATAGATACAGATCATGTAAGGATACAATCGTAGTTAATTTTAAATAAAATACAGTTGAATTCCTACTTTTATTTGTTTCTTAGCTCTGTGCGAAGACCACAGTAATGGCCAGTCCGAATTTCAAAAAAGATCGCATTTGGCTTAATGGACGGTAAGTATTAGAATAAACAAATAAAAAATATTTTAAAATAATGTGATCATTTTCCAGGGAAGAGGACATCAGGAATTCTAGATTGCAGAATTGTTTAAGAGAAAGTATGTCGCAGCGCATTGCGTAATGCAGAAAAGCCTCGATACATTTTAAAAACTACGAATGTTTCAGTTAGAAAAAGGGCAGGAGATTCCAGTCGCATAGGTGAATGGAAAATCCACATTTGTTCCGAAAACAATTTTCCTACCGCAGCTGGCCTAGCTTCCAGTGCGGCCGGTTACGCTTGTTTAGTAGCAGCCCTTGCCAAGCTATTTAACGTACAGGTATTATAAAAGAAACACTGGACTACGAATTTTCGAACAGAATTAAACTTATTACTCTCTGAACTAATTCAGGGTGATATTACCTCGATGGCTCGCATGGGTTCTGGGTCAGCGTGCCGAAGTATTATGGGAGGTTTTGTAAAATGGTTTATGGGTTCCGAAGCGAATGGAACGGATAGTATAGCGAAACAAATAGCACCTGCTACTCACTGGCCCGAAATGCGAGCTTTAATACTAGTCGTAAGAATTGTTTTTAATTTATCACTGTCCTCTCTATAAGGTACGATCGTAACTTGATACTTGGCAATAGGTAAACGATGTAAAGAAAAAGGTATCGAGCGCGATTGGCATGAAGAGGACGATGAACACATCTGATCTACATTTGTACAGGGTGAAACATATCATCCCTGATATGGTGAAGAAAATGCAACAAGCGATCATTGACAAGGATTTCGAAACGTTTGCCAAAATCACGATGAAGGACTCTAATCAAATGCATGCGATATGCTTAGACACGTATCCACCGATTATGTACATGAACGATGTGTCACATGCCATCATCGAACTCATCCATGCCTATAACGAAGCCGTTAACGAAGTGAAAGTAATTAGAGATTACGCTTTGCAGTTCAATCTCTGTGTATCAGTAATTTGATAAATGTTTTATTCATTCTAGGTCGCATATACTTTTGATGCAGGACCTAATGCTACCTTATATCTCCTGGAAGAAACTGTGGCAGATGTTTTAGGATTATTACATCATTTCTTTCCACCCTTAGAAACTGATCTTACAAAGTACCACATGGGATTGGCTGTCGAAGGAATTAAATATACTAATGTAAATATGTATTTTTATGTTTGTATAAGAATCATCTATCATTTACTGTGTATGCTCACAAATTTTACGATTGTTCTAGGAATTATTTGATAATATTAACGTGTCGAAACATCCTAATGGGTGTTTGAAATACATTATTCATACCAAGATTGGAGATGGACCTAAATATTTGGAAGATCCCAAGGATCATCTACTTAACGATCAAGGGCTGCCTATTAATCAAGCTTAAATAAATTAAATTATGTCTTTATTATTTGTAAAGAGAATGGTTGTTGTACGATGGAAAATAAATTATTTTTTATGTTATGAATTTGCATTCGTATTGCTTGTCATTCGTATGTATATTGATTCGTTGTAACAAAACTACCTTCCCTTACAGGCAAATATAAAATTGTAAAATGTTATAGAAACCTCCACTCTCCATTTTTAGTATCGCTACTTTCGAAATTAAGAATTTTCATGAATCTATGCAAACACGTGCTGCATTTATAACGATGCATAGGTTACGTGAACCGTGATTAGTGAAATTTCAGTAGCGCTCAACTATTATACACTGTCATAGATCCTGTTCATAGAAAAAATTAAACTCGCAGTTTATAATACTTTGTTACATAAATTACATAATTCCCAGTGAAGAATCATAAGATATATCAGACCGAATCATGTGTAAAACGAAGCTCATCACACAGGTTTTGGATGCTGTCATCAACAGACCAAATTTCGGGCAATGTATGAAAAAAGTAAAGTATCTCACGTTTCGCTTCATTTTCTTTATATATAAATATTACTGTAGTTCATAAAAAACGAGTAATATACGTTACGAATTACCACATAACCAATCGAATGATTGCAATTACTTTCATTGAAATAAGTCTGACATTTTTTTCGAACAGATAAAAATTGTGTCAGCTGGAAATGGGAATTGTAAAGCGGAATTCGTTGTTTCCGATGAACATTTAAATGTAGGTGGTATTATGCACGGGGGCTTTACGAGTACTGTTATCGATTGCATTTCTACGTACGCTGTGATGACTACAGGGAACAACGTACCGGGAGTTTCAGTAGATTTAAATGTCACGTGAGTATAACCTTCTTGTCTACATCATAGATAGTAGCTAATTACAGTTTGAATATTACTAATAATTAACTTACAGATTCATGAAACCTGGCCTTCCTGGCGACTTGGTGACAGTCGACGCTAGAACCATACGTACTGGGAAAACCTTGGCTTTCCTCGCAGTAGATGTCACAAAAAACAATGGGGAAGACATAATTGCTCATGGGAGGCATACCAAATTCGTTGGAACAAAGTAGTGCATACATTGTTATATATTGCGAATGCTTAGTATGTGTGGAACACTTTAGATAGTACAATAATGCAATATATTATAAAACCGGAATATGCTATAGTACTATTGTTTTTTTAAATGTATATAACATATGTATACAGAGTTTGAATTTGAGTAAATACAATTTTTTGTGAACACTTGTATATTAATTATTCCTTACGTATTGCTCTATTTTCGATTACTTTTAAATCTAGTTTCGTTTGATATACATCTCCAAAGATTTGTGTATCGTAAATACACAGACTGCAGACTTCATGCGCGTTTATAAGAAAATTGTAGCTGATTAAAATATACAGAACGCATTCAATAGCAAAAAACGTACAGTTTATCGAGACCGAAATCCATATTATTATTTCTAAAGAATATAAGAAATTCTTATCGTGATTTTCATATTGGCATTGAAAATATTTTAATTTGCACACAAATCTGCAGTCTACCAATATAATGTTCCCGTCGATTATATAAAATGAACACATGGCACAGAATCATTAAAATTACGATTGTTAATTGAACATAGCAGTGATTCGCATGCATTTACGGTTTCTTCTTTGCTTAAAAACATGTGATAAACGCAAAACTTTATTAACGAAGTTATCTAATAACGCTAACACCTAACAAATACGATATGAGAGAATAACGAGCGAAGTGATATGTGGATCCTTGGGTTGCTCACAAAGAAGAGAGTTACAGCGTAGAGGAAACGATTAGAAAAAGGAAACTACGATCGTTGATCGTTCAGACATATTGAATACGAGACGCCTTCTGTAATCTACTGTGTAACCTAACAAAGCAATTTTTATATATAGTTTTTCCTAGCCGAAGATAAAAAGTCGCAACAGGAGAATAAGCTCTATCATTGCTTCTATAAATATCATTTAAGCTCTTTTTAGTACCATTATTATCAGACGTGAGACTAGAAATAATAGAAAACGCTTAAACGACGCGTCGCGCGTCGCGTCCAGCAGAAGACTGACGGGTCCGACGACGACAGTGACGACACTCCGACCAACTAACTAACGCGACAGCTTCTATGATCTGTGTATGTACAACGATAATCGTGCAGAGTCAATGTTTTCCGAATGAATAAAAATGAACACGCGTTGGAAGAATGGCACCTCTTTACTTCGACCTCTTCAGATCTTCTAAAAGCGACTTCAGTTGTTCCACTCTGCCGGACAAAGATTCGGCGAGATCTCTGACTCTCCTAGATTCTTGCTCCGTCTCTTCGATCGTTCGCTCTAAATACGCGATTCTCTCGCTCTGATTCTGCGTACTCAGATCTTTTAAGGGGGGATTATTGAGTGCCGGGGAGTACTTAGCGGCGCTACGTCTGAATCTAGAAATCGTGTTGCTCTGATCCTCGCATCCGTCGCAGCAATCGGACCAAACTCTTAAATCTATATACGGGAGCTCCTCGCAGCTGACAAATTTGTTATCGCCCTCCGGCAGGAGAAACACGTTCGGTTGAATTCTGTTAATGTTATCGCCATTGTCGCACAGAATCCTGGCTAAACTCGTTTGCTTTATTTGCGTCAGTTGTTCTGGTTTGAACACAGTCGGACTCTCGTACCAAAATCTGTCGCCGTTTCTGGTACGCTTGAACTGTTCCAGCAACAGGCATTTGAACAGCGGGCCGACTTTCGCGTTAGGCAATTGATCCTCTAGCACTCCGCCGACCCAAACGTCCACGTTCCCAGGATGACCATAAAGTTCCCTCAACTTTTGTCTGACTTTCGCGCTACGAATTTCACCAGCTAGATCCTCGAACGTCTCGACGTGGGACATGTTACAAAATCGGCGCCATTCCAAGTAACCCGGCAGAGCGTGATCTCTGCCACGCTGAATGTTCATCGCGGCCAAGTCCAAGGCGACCGCGTGAGCCGTGCGGAACAACTGTTCCGTTAATTCCGTGTTCAAATTCTGCTCTGGGAGTTTCAGTTTTGCCGCGGTCGCAAACATTCCTCGTATCAGAGGATCCACGCCGCCCTCTTCCACCAATCTCCAAGGTGCGAAAAAGGCGTCTCTCAGTTTGAGAGGACCTTGAGGTATCGATTCGAAGGACTCGTTTAGACGATCTAACCGCGGTTGGATCAACGTGTGTCCGAATCGGAGAGCGGCAGTGGCGAACACATTGGAAATACTGGCGTCTACGTTGGGGTCGTAGCCTCGATACGAGCCGAGAAGTTCTTCAGCGGTACCGTCGAACACGTGAGGTATCCAGTGTTGATAAGTGATGTGCTGCATCTCGGCACCGACGATCTTCCTCGACTCTTGGTACAACTTCTCCCCGTTCCAATGCGGATTCATTTCGCGCAGGCTGCGAGCTATGCGATTATGTTCTCGCAGCCATATCGTATGCATCGCTAGAAGACCGACCTGTTCGTTCGCCCTGATGTCTCCAGCTACGAAGCAATTAATGGAACTCTCCAGAGGATTCCTTCTGCAATCTACGAACTGGCCGGAAGCGTACGGGAGGAGAGGTTTATGACCAGGGATCGTTGGTCCCTCTCGTAGGAGGCCGTGATCGGTGGAGAAATCGCGCAGGTCTCTGGCCAAAGCGTCGTCGTACCCGTACACTTGAGATGCATCCAGGTAGCTGGTCAACTGGTTCAATTGCTCCCGGGGGGTGACGTTACCCCAAAGAACGCTGGTCGCACCGGAACCGCAAACCGCGCTGGTCCTGATGAAATCGATGCATCTTCTGTTCGTGACTCTAGGGTCACCAGGCGGTACGTCCATCGGGAAACAGGGCGCAGCGTTCTCACAGACCTTTTTACAATCTATTCCGTCCCAGGACTCGCTGGAGACCGCCGGGAGAGCGTGGTCCAGGTCGTGGTCGAGGAACTGACCCCATTGCATCACCATGTGCGTGATCCTCGAGTCGGAAGTTATGTTATGAGTAGCTATCAAAGTCGTGGAGATCAAACGTGCGGACGGTTTCGGGAATCCGTAGTAACGGCGTCCTCTCTCCCAGCCGACCGGGGACGAGAACCCGTTCTCGTAGATCGGGTGCAGATTCCTGCGGAAACCGGTGTAAGAGGAACCCCAGGTTGGATGACGCAGGTTGTTGCAGCTGCCGTCAACGCTACGGTATTTGTTGTGGTAGCACATGTTAGTGCAATTCCGTCGGTGCCTGTGCCCAGTGCACCCCGACAATCTCTCAATCTCTCTCACCTAGAATATATAAAATACGTCGTATGTTTCATATATTTTTTTTAATACATTTACGTTATGCTATGTGGGACTTAATTTTTTTTTTTCAGTAGTATATTATGAAGAATTAATGCTATGTTTGATATGAAAATGGATAATTGAGATGATAAAATATAGAAACCTGTTCGGCGCTCAGAATTTCTTCATATCGGAACTCGTCGGTGGCGTTCGCCTTCATACCGGCGTTCACCATCCGTCGTACATTGACGAGCGTCCTTTCGAAGATCTCAGCTGGTCTGGCGGCCGCGCGGCCCACCGCGTCCGGGAAACGTGCGAGCCTAAATGGATTCGCTCGCGCGGACCTGTCACCACTGAAGAGACTCATCAGGGTGTTATTTATGGCTCGATCGATCTCCTCCTTGGCATCTTTAAATGCTCTTATCACGAGAACGTCTGTGGCGCCCGGCTGGCGAACGCGAATCAACGCCTGGGCCGTTGCGCGACCATATTGGTTCACCGCAGAACATTCGTATCTAAAATTAATAACAGGATGCATCAATCAAAGAAATGCTTTCGATCTCACGTTATGTTCTTTGCAAATGGATTAATGTTTTAAAAATCTAATACAAAGATTTACCTTCCAGTGTCTGCGGTTGTGACGTTGTAAAGGTACAAGCTTCCTCCTCTGGAGATTCGAACTCTGTTCCCTTCCACGGCAGTCCCGTCCTTCTTCCACTGTATCACAGGTTTCGGATGACCTTCCACCCTGCAGGGGACTTCGATAATGGTCCCAGGCTCTGCTTCCATGTCCTGTGGTTCGTACGTCAAACGCGGAGGACTATAAAACTCGTCGACCACGTTCAAATCCGCGCTCGTTTCTGCGAATCCATTAGCGTTCCTCGCTTGGCAAACGTATCTCGCGGTGTCTGATTCTCTGGCTGAAAAGATCCTCAGCAGAGTCCCGTCGTTCTCCAGAGAGATTCGACTATTCGCGTTCAACGGTTGACCATTTCTCGCCCATTGGACGCTCGGTGGTGGACGTCCGTCTACTTTGCAAGCGAGGGAGACGTTCGAGCCGACTCTGACCGTCTGCGATTCGGGCAACTGGATAAATTGCAACGGTGGGAACGCTGTGATCAGAGCTCGCGCTTTTCTCGATTTCGTCGAGCCCATTTCACTGTGAGCCAAGCATTCGTATTCGCCGACGTCTTCTTCAGTCGCGTCCGATATTATCAACGTCCCGTCGTTTTGCATCACGTAACGGGCGCCGTCGATGGGAACCTCGTTGGAATCTCGCATCCATTTGACTTCCGGTAACGGATCGCCGATCACCTCGCAAGTGAACGTGATGGTACCGCCCAAATGCACCTCGACATCCTGCGGCCCGTTCATTATCTGCGGCTTCGCTAAAAAATTACAATGCCATTCTTCGATCTCATTCAATCATACATATTTTATCTCGTTGCATTTTAAATATTAGAACTTTATATAATTTCTTTATTTGTAGCTCTATAAATATCTGATCATTTTGTTGTCTGAGATCATTCTTACATATTTTATTTTGTTGCTTTTTAAATATTAGAACTTTATATAATTTCTTTATTTGTAGTAATTTCTTTATCTATAAATATCTGATCACTTTGTTGTCTGAGATAATACAGATGAAGTTGTAGTTCTTGAAAATAACGCAATCAGTTATGCAAAGGAGAAAGAAATAGCTATCTGTTTAACATATTGGTTCACGCTCAGTATATTTATAATAGCACCTAATACCCGTCCGTCGATTTGTTCTAGTCACGGTGAAACTGGCAGATATCTGGCAGAGGAGCTGAGTTTATTTGTTCAGATCCGCGCTTACAGGTTTCCAACCGTACATCAGCTACCCGAACATATTTTGACGTAATCAAGTTACACGTTTACTGCTAAATGAAGCTACCAGACGTTCTGTTATTCAATTATTCGTTAGGCAACGTTCCTTCCTGGTCCGACCAGGTAATCGAGGATAATTGAGAGAGCAGAGCTGCCGTTAGAACGGCGGCTACTTTGTCTTCATCACCGTGAGCGAATCAACTTTACCGATAAAAAGTTTCTAACTGTAAAAACCAACCCGCGGTATTTTCTAATACCGTAAAACAAAGTTCCCTTGTCGCCATTAAGACCGATGGCTCCCCGGAGAGTCGTAAACCTTCGGTATACAATGCCTTACGCTTCATTCCGCTACTTCGTGACTTCTTCTTAACATATTTCTATAAAGATATGAACTAACAGCGACAGAGAAATGTTACAGTAACCTTCTGCGAACCGGCAAGAAGAATCCTATGCCGGTTAGATGATTTCATCTTTCATGTCTGAATTTATTATGAAAATCATTGAAACGTGCGACTCTGCAAGGATTTATCGAATGCTTTTAAGTCCGATTTCTTATCATTTCTAAAAGAAATATTAATTCAGCGAAGGGGAAGTTACTCAACTGCAATGAAACTCGTCCGGCGACATGGTCGTCAACGACCTTCCTTTCATCTCGTCCGGTGCTTGGCAAATCGCAGCCATTTCGGACGGTCTGCTCTGAAGCCTCTGCACCAGCCAGACCAAATTGCAGTCGCAGACGAGGGCATTGCTGTCCAACCGTAGACGCGTCATCGGGCCGACGTTTTGGAACGCGTCCGCTGGTAGATGATGCAGCTGGTTGCTGTGCAGGAACAGCCTCTCCAGCGACGGTAGATCGTTGAACGTACCTTTTTTGATCTCCTTCAGGTGGTTGTAGTGCAGGTATAATTGCTTTAAATGCGGCAGCCCGGAAAAGGCGCCGGGTGCGATTCGTTTTAACCGGTTCTTGTACAAATAGAGGATTCTCAAGTTAGGCGTGCTCTCGAAAACTCTTGGTAGAAGATATCTGATCTGGTTGTCGTTCAACAGAAGTGTTTGCAAATCGTTCAGGCCATGGAACGATCCCGGTCGGATGTCTGCTATGTTGTTGAACCGTAAATCTCTGACAAAATAGAAATTGACATAATGATAGATAAAATAATCGATAGAATGTTTCATCCGATTGATAGTGTTTGTTGAATGAATTGGGACGTCGAGTAGGATCGAGTTCGGGACAGAAACGGCTAGTTTATATCGGTTGAAGGATCGGCGTGGCAACAAAGCGCGGACGTCTTAATTAATGATTTTACTCGAGTCGCTGCGCATTATCTGACTAAATTGCCGGGCGAGTTCTCGATTCGACGCGCCCCGCCGTTTTAACCCCTTTATCGCTTCAGCTGATATTCCAGTGGCACCGGTTCCACGTTCAAGCACCGATGAAAACGAAACGATCCCGTAGAGCGCGAGCCTGGCGACCGTGCGAATTTTTCGCGACACGCCGCGAAATAATGAACTCGCCGAGAAGCTTTCGCGATCAACCGAGCTTGCGTTCCGCTTCTTATTTTTCCGGCTCGTGCACCTTTTCATTCCTGTTTCCTTTCATTCTCTCTCTCTCTCTCGCGGTTTCTCGCCGAGAAAAACGGTCACGTGGAAACAGTGCGAGAATGAAAAATTGCTGGGGTCGATCAGAGGCACTCGAGGCGGTTTTTTAAACGAAAACACCGCCCGAGTTTTGTATTAAATTTGTTATCCGATAGATCGTCGAGCAGAAGTAGGACAGGTTCTCTATTCACGGTAAATCTCGAAGTTTTGCCAGCAGCGAAATTCAATGTTTAGAAAGTGAATACGATTGAATTAGTCGGCGGTGAATTTTTCCTAACCGCATCTCGAAAATAGATGAGAACTGTGAAAGGAATAATGGTAATCCTACGATGCGATAGACTCCCTTTCACTCGTTCGACCATCATCAATTTCGATGCACCAGCGATATTGACACGTGATATTTACATCGAGTAATTTCCCTCGCGCCCGCAGGTATTTGCAACGATACGTTCAACGAGCAGACGAGCTCTGACATAATCGGCGTTACTCCGTGAACAATAACATTTTTATTGCCTTTGGAAAAGCGTGTAGAAAGCCGTGCTCGAACAGCCGCAGGCAAATAAATTCATCTTTTTAACCCGCGACGTTCTTACCGACAACGTTTACGACACCGTAACTAGCTTATAGAAATACTTCGCTGACAGATTCTACTACCACGTTATTACCTGTAATAATATTTTCTCAACTGTATATTTATCTTAGCATAAAATTTATGGAAAAAATAAAAGAAAAGGAAGACTGTTTTTTCATAAAAAAAAGGAAGAGGAAGACTGTCTTTTTTTTAATTGAAAAGTTTCTTCGTGTCTCGCTTGAGAAGCGATCGAAGAAACCAGGAAAACCGCAACAGTTTGTCACACATAAAGTGAATCATGTAATGAATTAACAAAATTATGATGTCACCCAGATTACTCAGTAAATTGAAAACGAAACGTTGTTCAACGCAGCTGAGAATATACAGGATTTTTAACACTAGATTTACCAAGAAGGAACGAAATGACTTGTTTTGCATTTCGTATAATCATTATTTTTCTCGTTTGTTGGGTAATTATTATTTTCATATGTCGTTTGATTTTTATACTTATGCATTTTCTTTCTACGAACGCATAAATTCTAGGTCTGACACAGCTATCGCAAAGATACTAATTGATAACATTTGAATGTATTTAATCCTCGAGTACACAAACGTGACAGAAAATAGTAAAAGCACGAATTACGTCGGTTTTGGTATTTTTAATTACATACCGGGTACGTCGATAAGAGGAATCGATTAGGATGATGGACGTAAAGAGATCGTATCAAGCTGTACGAACGCGCACGCATGTACGAACAATAAAAAATAGCCAATGAAAATGGTAATGAGGGGGAAATAAATTTACTTTCACCGGTTCTGTGCCGGTTTGCTGTTCCGCGGACCGATTGACATGAATATTAATGGCTAGGCGTTATTTGCCCCGGTCAGCCGCTCGTTACGATATTTTCTTCGCGGCTATTCGATCACAGAAATTGTTAATATTACACAATTAATTATTTGCATGTTTCAGGAAAAGTCATACAAAATTTTAGAAAACGAAGTGTACTGGAAATGAATAATGATTATAAGAAGTGCCAGGCAAGTCATTTTGATCACCTTTGGTAGATTTAGTGTTAAAATTCCGTAATTAGTTTTTAGATGACATTCTTTTGCTCGATCCGCAGGACAATTTTCACTGTGTATTCTCTTGGCGTAATCGTTTAGGGCAACGTTTGGAGACCTAGACCGGTGATTTAGCGAAGGTGTATTTATTCAATGAAGCCGGGGCGAAACCCGGGTTTAAGGATACTCGATATTCGGGCCAATATGCATAATAGGCGCACCTCTGGTGATCCAGAAACCGTTCGTTTCATCGGGCCGATCCATCGAAATTGTGTGCAACACCCGGTGCCTGCGCTCGAACTTTCACGTTTATTCCCCGTATAAATTACACGGAACCTCTTCTGGGAGATCCACCGTATTAAATTCTGGCCGAGATTGATATCGTCAAACCACCTTTAAAACATTCCCAACGCGTAAAACGCTTATCGTTTGTATCAAGTTTTAGTTGAGCATACTTTTTAATTAGTGTTACTGAGAAAGTTCTTGAATTAAAAACTTCGAGGCAATCTCCAACTTTGCTTTTAATTACTTATTACGTCGGCCGAAATAAAATGAGACAAAATTTTTCACCCACAGTTTTTGTCGCAATGCACGCATTTAATAATACATCTAAACTTGATTATCTTTCTTAATTCTGATTAATAAATTGATAGAAAAGAATCTTAGTATTTTTATTTCGCGATCCTTGACCCGATGAACAATCCTGGGGGTGGCTAGTATAGGTCAGTGGTCATTCGCTTTAAAATCATCCGAATAACTATGGACGGTTAATGAAAATGGTTAAATTCTGATTAATAAATTAATAGAAACGAATCTCAGAATTTTTATTTCGCGATCCTTGACCAGATGACCAATCCTAGGGGTCGGTACTTAAAGTCAGTGGTCAAGTGGTCATTCCCTTTGGAATGACCCAAAAAATCCTGCCCGATTATCGATAAATGCGGGAGGAAACGAATATGCAAATTAGGAGCCGTGCCTTCTAAGAATCGGCCAATCATTTTGCGCAAACGTCATTTCGCCCAATCCGTTGATCTCCGAGAGGGTATAAGTACAGAGCCTCGGCGCTCTTCGGGTCACTCGATCGGTGCGAATGCCGGTCGAGACACCCCTTTTCCCATCCTATCCCAGTATGCGTGTGCGGTATGAGTATGAGTATGAGTGTGTGGGTACCGGTACTAGTGTGCAGTATGCCTTCCTAAATTCCACCCTATAACGGAGCGAATTTAGATTCATCCCTCTTTCTCTCGTTTCAGTCAATCCATTTTGCTCGCGTTTTAGTATACCCGCGCCGCGAATAGTAGTTTACCAGTCAGACTTTGCT